AGTGACGTAATCATTGCTATTTCACATATAAGACTCACGTTGTTTGTCGTATTAGAGAGAAAAAAAGAAAGATATCGATCGAAGTTATATATATGCTTTGTTTTACTTCTATATGTAGAAATGCCGATTTTCTTTAAAATAGTAGAACCAATATGTATGCCTTTAATTTGAAATAAGACGTGTCTTCTTCTTTTTTTCAATTTTGCGATATCAAGTGCTAAATGTCACCCTTTATGTAATGTAATATTATTGTAATGTAATATTATTAAGGCAGTTTGTTTCTGTTTTACCTGTAATTTTTAATATTTTCCACTGTATATTAGGAAGTGGACAGCTAGAGTAACTTTCTTATGTCAAAATTTGTCTTTTTTTTCAGGTAGGCAAAATTTTGTACACTTTTTGTATATTTTGTTCTTTGTATATTTAGATTTCATGAATCACAATCTAATTAAAATTAGATGTTCCGAATCCGCTATCGCTTCTCAAACCGGGACCTCCGCCGTCGTCTCCGAGATCGTTTGCGTTACCGCACACGACCCCGCGAGGAGCCAACTCCGTTTGAGAAGCGATAGCGGATTCGGGACATCTAATTTTAATTAGATTGCATGAATCAAAGCCTGCATTTCACCTTTTTAGGGGGGAGGGGATACTCACTTGTATGAAATTTAATTTATTCATTCATTATGTGAATTTGTTACATATTCCTGCAGCATAAAGCATCATGCTTTATACACCGGGGGTTGGGTTAGGATACCCTTTGTCTATTTTTTTTCCTTTATATGTGTACGCCTGTCTTGTATTTGCAAAGAACACTCAGCTCCATCAGGATTATTACAAATAAGAAACGAGGAAAGAATTTGAGAAGACCAAAAGCAGGAGTCGAGTCATATAAAATACACTGTAGTATCCAACACACACTATCCACTAGACAATCAAAAAAAAAAACGTTCATAACTGCTATGTCCCCATAAAGTATAAAATAGCTATGAGAAAAAGCTAAAGATATTTATGATTAATGATATACATAAATGTCAGTGACTAACATATACAGCATTTAAAATTCCCTAAAGCTTTTGAAACACCTTCTTTATGTAGGGCGAGATTATAACATCGCTGCTTAGATCCACGCCACTATGTACCCATTAAACAACGTCAGAATCAGAAAGACAATTTACATTCCTGTCCTTTCCCTTGGCTATACAGAACACGATATCGCGGGGGATGTAATGATGATCTTTAGGAATAAAAAGGTTATCATTGCCATTAAGCGAGATCCAATCGTCTAACTTCAGACTCGGGCTGATTAGCTTTTTTTGTACTTGATCATGTTCTTTTGAGGCCACCTTGCAGAATAGATTTTTACTCGAAAGCTTACATTTAAGGTCGCCTTGCAGAGTAATTTTACACCTGTCTACGTCCTTTTAAGGTCGCTTCGCTGAATGTATTTTTTTTACTCGATTGCTTACTTTTAAGGTCGCCTAGCTGGAGGTTTCGTACTTGATTGCTTCTTTTAATGTCTTGATGAATAGTTTCGTACTTGATTGCTTCTTTTAAGGTCGCCTTGATGAAAAGAATTTGTATCTGATTAAGCTCCTTTAGGAGGCGGTTGATCGTCTTATTATGTAATGATGCCAGTCGGTAGATGGAGATAGAAATAGTAAAATATGAGAAAATTTAATATACCTAGTCTAAACTCGAGACAAATTTAGTCCTTATAATCTTCTAAAACCTTTGTCTATCTTCTTCAAATTATTTCTTTAAAAAGAGTAAACACAACATACACATTATTTCAGAGAGACTTGCATAATTCTGGAATAAGCTTTTCATTGATTGTGGCAAAAAAGGCCTTGGTGTTCACCTATATAATTCAATTAATGGAAACACCGTGAACGTTTCATTTTCATATTTTTTTTCTTCTCCTGAAATTTTTGACCGTTTTCAGGAGTTATTTCCAAAACGGATTTTTTTTATTTACTTCCTTAATTTACTTATGACAGGGCTCATCTAGAGATTTATGCAATTTTCATAGGAGATGTTATTAAGAATTAAAGTACATCTTTATACAAAATGCATATAAATATTATTTAATCTGATCATTTATCAAATATGGCATTTATATTTCCATCAAGTTCATGTGAAAAATATATGAGTTCTGATCTAATACATGTACACAAGATTGTGGTTACCATGGCAACATGAAGGGCCATAGTACGCGGGGGGGGGGGGGGAGGGAGAGGCTGTCCCCTCCTCCACCCACTTTTTAAAAGGAAAGTAGTTTTAATATGATTTTTTTTAATCAAAGACTGCCCTCCACCTCACCCCACTTTTTGTTGCAGTATAAGGTAGAACTTTGCAAATTTTTCACTGAAAAAAAATACCTAAAAGTAGAGAAAGACCCCCTCCCTTGAAAAACGCTACGGGCCTGGCAACATGCCCTAGAGTCTGAAAAACAGCATTTCTCAATATGTTCAGAGTTCTATTATTACTATTTGAAATAATATAGAAAGGTAACGGTGATTGTTTCCTAAAGTCAAAGACTTGATGTCCTCATTTTCAGATTATAAAAATATTAAGGAAGATCTCTATTACACGTTATAATGGAAACAGTGTATTGAAAAGAAATGATTTTATTCACTAATTTTGAGTACACGTACAATCAATAATTTAAAAACAGTCATAAGTTAAAATATAACCCACCCATCCCCCGCTCTAAAAATATTGAAAGATCCATCGAACATATTTTAACGTATCTAAATGAAGAAACGTGATATTATTTCTTGGTTGCTATGGCAATAAAACATAAAAAGAGAATTTTAAAATAAATTCTCTATATGTTTTTATCCGTTTCTATCCTTTTTACAGGACACTTTTCTATATGACATGAAAGCATTTTTTAAATGCAATAGTGATGTCTACATTTCGAAAAATTCAAAACTTACGTATATATAGAACTAAATATAACCAAACTCTACTGTAGGCCAGAAGCTATTATATTAGGTTCAATATAAGCTACAAATTTAGACAAAATGAACATTTTTATTTATTGATTACCATAGCAAACAATATTCTTTTCTTCATCAAACTCGATCAATATAAAGTTATTTAGCTTTAGCTCTCTCGGATTTATACAATTGTGGGTGATTACAATAATGTTATTTTTGATTAGAGGGTAACTAAGATCATAAAGCATCAAGAAATTATTACTTTAAACCATTGCTTTGAATTAAATTGCCACAAAACTTTAGCAATAACTTCTGAATTTCTTTCTGCTATCTGTGTTACAAAGTCTCTATAAGATATATATTTGGCAGTATTGTTTCTCCATATCTTTCCATTAGATGGAAGTTTTAATCACAACTTAGGTGCAAATTGTGTGTAACTATGCTGTGTTAACGTGGCAGTCATGATATTTATTGTTAGACTTATTTATTGCTATAACCTATTTACTCGGTACGTAAGGTCAAATATTTCTACTGCTTCTCTACAGTTGGAGAATGAGTCTGATCAGCGGATCTAGAGGGGGTGGGGGGTCCGCCCCCCCCCCCCAGAATTTCAGTAATCAACTTTATAGGAAATAACGGGGGGGAAATGTCGAAAAATTCCAAATCTGACATGTGGAACCCCTCCTGGAAAAAAAATTCTGGATCCACTTAAGTGGATTCCACTTGTATATCTAAAGAAGTGTTTTTGTGTAAGCGGTTAAGTTTGTTTTATTGGTCTTTGTTTGATTCAAAGTAGCTGAAAATCTCAATTTTTTAAATTTGCCCGTCTGTTACTATGACAACCAATGCACATAACGACAAAATTTTAATTTTGTTGGTATATGTTCCTTGTGTCAAGTTTTTATAATGAGCAAAGTTTCATCAAAATCAGTGACCATGCTTGTCAACAGATATATCTGATTCTAATCTATATTTTTAAAGGACTCAGGGAATGAAAACGACCAATAAAAGGCAAATCTCGTTTTTATAAGAATTTTATGTCTAAGAATCGACATTTTCTAAAGGTCAAGGAAACTCCGCTGTCGTCGTAAATCCCCGATGTCGGAAACGACTACCTGGATGATTTCACACTATCATTTTCGGCGCAGGAGGGATCGATGTATTTGTGGTCGTGTTAGATCATCCTCACAACGTCAGTGGTCCTTAGTCAACGCGTTGCCGTTTGACGAACGGCAATGTGTTGACTCAGGACCCCTGACATTGTAAGGATGACTTGAGTTCCTAAATGATATATCTGAAAGTTTTGTTTTGTTTTGTTTTTTTGCAGTGAGACTTCATATCACAACGCCTTATAATTTATAAAAGAAACCAGTTGATTCTGAGACCAAATTTCGAGGTCACAAATTCATATTTTGCATAAAATAGCTTCCATATATGCTCTGTAAAAAATTGCTATAACATCGTTTCCAGAATGCTTAAAAATATTACCCAAATTCATTCCGAGATGAAAGGGTCAAAGGCCACAAATTTGTGTATTGTTTCAAATAGTTTCTGGCTAATATATCAATACTTCTTTCCGTAAGCTGGGGACATAAATTCCTTGAATTAGCTTGTTTCATTGAAAGAAATCATGACAGATTTACATGCAACTTATACATGTAGTGCCTTAAATAGCAAATTGATATAAACATATATTTCTGTCATATGACAGGTGTGTTACAGGTAACCATCAAACACAACTACCATATATAATCAATAAAACAAGCAGACGGCAATTTGGTTAATTAAAATCGTCTTATTATCAAGTATTTTCTTTTTTTTTTTTGTCAATTTCTGAACATTATTTGAAGGACTTTGTGTGAATTCTGATAAAATATCGCCCGATTACGCAGGTTCCTTATAAATCCAGCTGACAGTTTTTCATATGATACTCTCTACGGTGATATAAAAAACAAACCACTGACTGCTGTGAAATAATTCTTTTTTTTTCGGAATATTACATGTGCTTATTTGTGATTCTGATGTGAAAAAAATTCTCTTTTCAGACTATCAGATGTGTTTCATTGTGATGTGTTATGGCGCACGTGTTCAGAAAGGTAAACAATTTAAGTCCATCTCTGATTATTTCTACAAAAAAAAAAAATTAAAAATTAAAATTAAAAAGCTAAAGGATTGTTTAAGAGGAGTTGATTGAAAATATTTACAAAGCAGGTATTCAGACGATACGAAGGAAAACAACAAAAATTGTCTTTCAAGTCCACCAGGAAAAAAAATTAAAAATTTATCAATTTGAATTTTTCTGGGAGCTCGTATGTGTACCTTGGTCGATCGAGTCACCTCAAGCATCTTAAACGTCAGTTTGAAAGACAAAAATTACAACTTTCCTCCAACGTTTCAGTTTTCTTTTGTTTTTTTGTTTTTTTTCTTTTTTTTCTGTGCTTGATGTTACAGTCTTAAAATCCTCCTTTCGCTCCAGACGAAATTGGCTCGTCCAGGGGACAAACTTGTAAGGTGTGAGAGTCCCGAGGAACCTCCAACCCCAGATCTTTCTCACTTGACCCCGGAAGAAATTAACATCCTTCAAAAGGTCATTCAACGACAGGAAGAGTTCGAGAATGAAGAGGCCTCATGTATCTGGTAAGTAGTTCATGTATCTGGTAAGTATGTCATGTATCTGGTAAGTACGTCATGTATCTGGTAAGTACGTCATGTATCTGGTAAGTACGTCATGTATCTGGTAAGTACGTCAATTATATGGTAAGTACGTCATGTATCTGGTAAGTACGTCATGTATCTGGTAAGTAAGTCATGTATCTGGTAAGTACGTCATGTATCTGGTAAGTACGTCATGTATCTGGTAAGTATTCTTGCAGACGACAACAGTGAAAGATGCAAGAACATCACCAAAAAGCAAAATATGAAATTGTTTAATTCAAAATTTACAATTCTGATAATGTAGACACATTATAAAGAGAACCATTCGACTTTACTCTGTGTATACAGAGATGCTTATTTATCAAAAGACGAAACCTGTTAAATGAATCCCGTGTCAAAAGATCAAAGTCCATGGGCAGGACAGTGTTGGGTGTTATGAATGTTGTGGACACAAACTGAAGAGAAGCTTTTGACCTTTCAGTTTTAAAATTGCTTCAAGGTTACTACACAAGACATAGACGTCGGAAGCAAATTGAAAGTGGGGTGGCTAATTGAAAGTGTGTGTGGAGGGGGGGGGGGCTAAACCAACGGAAAAAGGTAAGTCCCAATTCCCAATGCCTATATTATACCTATCTTTGAAAAAAAAGTGGGGGGGGCTAAGCCCCCCCTACACCCCCCCGGTTCCGACGCCTATGCAAGATAAAAAAAAAATCAAGATTTAGCAATGTAAGTCAAATAAAAATAGTTAAAAATTTTAACTAATGAAACAATGGCAAGATTTCTCGTGGTCATTCAGTCTTATATGTGAAACAAATATTGTATTTGGCAAAAGGAAAATCTCCAAGTTTAACGTCAGTGCATGATCTTATAATGTAGCTTTCTCCCATCATATATCAGTATAGTATTTGAGATTTAATGAACTTATAATGAAATCAGGCCGAGACAGGATACTCTGTTTTCGCGGCCTTCTCCCACTTTTCAATTAGAGATAATTTTGATAAAACACCTGGATTAAGTAGCTAAGCTAAAATAACCATTTCCTGCTCGTGTTTTTGATTAGTCCGAAATATCTGACGTTTTCCAGGCTTTTTTCACGATTTTGATATTTTACATGCCGTTTTCCTGGCACGTTAAATACCAAAATCGTGAAAAAAGCCTGGAAAACGTCAGATATTTCGGACTAGTTTTTGATATGATCAATATACTATGTAATATTGAATAATTATAATTTTCTGAGAAATGATAAATTTTAGGGCCATTCGACAACAGCTGGAGCAATACGAAGACGCAGTCCGAGCACAAGGCAGCGGCAAAGGGCGCCTAAAACACATCGATCTACGCCTATGTCGATTATGCTTTAAAACGAAATTCGCGGATGGCATCGGACGTCTGTGTCATGACTGCCGGAAGCGGGTTTGTCAGCGTTGCGGGGGATTCACTAAAGGCCGCTGGGATCCAAAGAAAAAGAAGGTAAAAAAGACTAAATTGTACATGATAATTGGTACTAATTAATTTTCAACATGACGAAGAATTTCCTAAGTAAGGAGGTTCGATCCTGAGCTTTTGAGCAGATTTTTATCTGGACCTCTATTTCTAAAATCCTGCATCATATTTCAGTTCTTCCAATAACTTTAGATTCTTCAATGCTAAGTAAACTATATTCAATTAAAAACCCAGGATTAAATTCCATACAAAAAGCATTAAGTGAGAAACTGTATTTTGTGGCAGAATACTTAGTAGTTTTAGAAGAAAATGATCATTTTTTTCTCTTTTGTAGTATTTACAGAACTGTTAAGTTTGAATTCCTATTTTTCCATACAGGTTGCACACAGTTATTTTGTGCAGTGAAATGTTTTATACTTGACTCGGATTTTATATTAAATTAGCTATAATGAATTCTATCATATTGTTACAAATAAAGCAAATTTATTGTGAAATTCGGGAAAAAAATAGCCCAAATTTTAGCTTAAAATTGACATTTTTTTAGTAATATCAAAAGAAAAATTGCATCATAGATCCCCACTTTCATCTTTTTTCTGAATATTTAAGATTGACCATTCTGCTTAAATCCAGTAAAAGCTTGAGACTTTAAAAAAAAAATTATTGCTTGTTTTGTTTTTTAATACCAGACAAATTACATTTTGTGCGTGCAGAAAGGTCAAATAATTGTGCCAAGTAATTTGAAACTATTTTAATGTGTCTATCAAGATAGAATAAGACTGCATTGGACCCATGATTTATTAGAATAAAAAACTTCGAAAAAGTGGCTTATATACATGTAAGACGCAATTACAGTGCAAAAAGGTCATACTGAATGCACCGTACCGCCAAAAGAACGTTTTGACCCCCGTTTTCTGTATTGGTTTTTAATTAAGCTATTTGTGTAGATAATAAGAATATATTTGACAAAAAATTCTTAAGAGTTTGATTGCAGGATCCAAACTCCTTACTATGGGCAACACAAAAAGAAGAGCGAAAATATTAAACATAGAACGAAAGTGCTTAAACATAATAAACAGTGAGATTTATTTCTTCAGGTTTTTAACGTCTTGGTTTCGGTAATTTTCCTTAATTTTCGAATTCGGTTAATTTTACCAGATTCTTTCGTGCAGGAGCGCTTTTGCGTTCAGTATAAATATACAACTTCATTCGGGGAATGTTCAATTAATGCGGCGTTCGTTACAAGGCATTTAAGGTTGTTTTTCTTTGATTTTTCCTGCCCACGCATCCGATATCTTTAATATCTTTTTTTTTCGACTTTACGTGCTAATTACAGTATTTGTTTTTTATTTCTTTATTATATGTATGTGTTAATGTGTTTATGAAATTAAATGCAATTTTATGACGCACGCAACAATCCTATCATACTTTTGTCTCTTATTTATTCACAAATTAGTCGAAAGATATTTAATTATTTCGGAAATGTTAAAATAAAGGGAGAAAATAAGTTAAAATATAAGCATACAGCGACAATGATAAATATGCAAACGCGTAGTGAGACTGCTATTACAAACGTGCAGTTAGAGTGGTAAACGTGAATCTACTGTGAGTGGTAAACAAATTAAGGTAAACGTGAATGTACTTAGAGTGGTAATAAACATATAAACATACAGTGACGGTGATAAACATATAGACATACCATGAGAGCAGTAAACGTATAAACGTACCGTGAGAGTGGTAAACTTAAAAACATACTGTGGCAGTGGTAAACGTATCAACATATCATGAGTGGTAAACATATAAACGTACCATGAGAGTGGTAAACATATAAACGTACCATGAGAGTGGTAAACATATCAACATATCATGAGAGTGTTAATCATTTAAACATCATTGAAACATACTGTGACAGAGGTAAAATTTAAAAATTCCATGAGGATGGTATAAATATGCCGCGAGAGTGTTAAACATATAAACATACTGTGAGAGTGGTAAACATATAAACATACCGCGAGACGGAGAATGTTAAACCTATAAACATACTGTGAGAGTGGTAAACATATAAGCATACCGCGAGACAGAGTGTGTTAAACATAGACACATACAGTGAAAGTGATAAACATTTAAACAAACTGTAAGAGTGATAAACTTGTAAACATACTGTGAGAGTGGTAAACATACAAACATACACGAGAATTGTTAACATAGAGTTCAGTGGATAATATGCATAGGCGTCGGAACCGGGGGGGGGGGGGCTTAGGCCCCCCACTTTTTTTTTTCAAATATAGGATATAATATAGGCATTGGGAATTGGGGCTTACCTTTTTCCGTTGGTTTAACCCCCTCCCCCCCCCCCCACTTTCAATTAGCCACCCCACTTTCAATTTGCTCCCGACGTCTATGATATGCAAACATACAGTGAAAATGGTTAAATACAAACGTACAGTTAAGGTGGTAAACATATAAACATGTAATAAGAAGGGGTTAACTAACAAATTTGCATTGAGATTGGTAAGCAAGATTGGTTAACATACAAAAATGCAGTGAGAGTAGGTATATGTACAAACATGCGGTGAGGGTGGTAAAGATACTAACATACATTAAATGGATGTAACATAAATATTTGAATGTAATTGAACATATCAGAATACAGGAAGAGAACAGTCGAATGGACGAGAGTATGTAAACACAGTGAGAAAAAGAGAGGGGACTGCATTGAAGCTAACTGACCAAGCAGAAATTCATGTGATCAGTGCTTCCTGGTCAAACATAATAACATGAAACATACAAATCAATATTTTGGGGGTATACAGTGACTATGACAGGCTATGGGGTCACTGGCCATGTTCAGTAATTACAATCTGACGCCTTCAAACTTAAATAAGATGTAAGGGATTAATATCTCTATCGATATTCTGTTTATCCATAAGCACTACACCATCACCATTGATTTTTGCTGGCGTCAACTTCTTCACCTCTTAGACCGAAGCATAGACAGACTGCACACAGATAAGCATCGCTTCTGTCTCATGCTGGTCTCTGTGAAGGAGATGCTTGATATGCAAGGAACATAGAATGATCTACATAGATACATGATATAATGCCAATATTTCCTGTCGTTGCAGATGGTGCGAGGTAGATGGCGCTGCAATATGTGTGACATGAAGCGGAAGTTCTTTTGTAAAACGGGCGTCTGGTATCACGGACAACGTGCTCGACCTACTCTCAATCGAGCACTCTTCAGTCAGAAAACGCGAAGTCTAGAGGCGGATCTCACAGAGGATGAGGTAAGAAGATTTGATAAAATAAACCTGAATTTTGTGTCGCCTGCAAAGCAGAGAATGAAACTCTGTGATCACTTTGGTCCCAAAGTATTTCTGTCTGTAGTTGGTCATAATAAAAACACAAGGTTAGTGTTCGAGTGATCTTGACATTTCATACAAGAAATTCAGTATATATTACGGATTTACATTTAAAAAATGTTGATCCATGATTAGGTGGATTTTAATAATTAAAACTTGTATATTAATGTATTGCCCGAGGAATTCAATATTAAGCATGTACTTGTACATTCCTTGTAATGACTTTTTCTGGTCTACTATACTCACTGACCTTGAACTTTAACCTAAAAAAGGAAACTTTTCTAAAATCTATTGATTCGTTCGTGCTTGAATTTTGATACTTAGATCGTGGATTGCTTGTTAAGGGATATTCTAACGACAACAGTAATACTTATTGAATGACAAGTATATATAGTTTACCTGTTGTCCTGTTTTTGATATGTTTTACACCACAACTCATGAAAAGCGAAAGATAAGGCCTGCATATAAGTAAGTTTATTGTTTGTTTCAAGAAAATGACCAACACAATGAACCTTGCGATGGTAGATTTTACCTTGTTGGCCTACTTTTAAATAGAAATTAATCTCATCTATAGAGAGAGAGAGAGAGATCTATAGATGTTGAACGGAGGCAGGATACGGTTGTTCAGTATGTTGTTTGTCACAAGTTGTTTTTGAAAACAGTTATGTTATCATAAGATGTGACATTGACTTTTAATTTCCCAGTTATTTTGTTTGTACAAATATTTTATTTGTCATTAGTTAAGGTTTTGATCATCAGATTACCTTTTGAAAATACTAGTGATCTGCTTATAGCTGACGTTCTTCTTTGACGTATTCTTTATTCGCGGAAAATACATTTATTTTATATTGAATCTCTTTTATCTTATAATTACATATTAACGGCAAAAAATGAAGAATTCAATGACCTATCACTTGTGTTGAAAAATTAATAAAATATAAAACTTAATCTGTAGAAGCCAATGTTTAGTCAAAGTTTTGTCCACCTCACAGCAAAAAATGATCAACATTGTGCTTCAATTTCTATAGGTTTTAATCCTCCCTCTAGTTAACTAAAACTTGCATCTGGTCGTGGAGTGGACGACGTAAAATGGAATTAATTTTGGATGGCCTTATTGAGTTACTGTGCAGTTACGTTATGTAAATTTATAACCAATGAAATATGTGGGGAAAAAAGATATCACACCGAAAACAAACTTAAAAAAAAAGTGGCAGCACTTTGTGTTGATTTGTTTTGAGAAGTTCAAAAAAAATCCTGTAAAAATTAGCTGCTAATGTAAAGAGAGAGAGAATTGAGCGCGGTAGTTCAGGATCTAGAGACATTTTTACTACTGACAGAAAATGATCGAGGTATGAACTTTTTCAATTTCAGCAATATTGAATTCGTTTTCACCGGGTAAAATCCAACTTCCGTTCTGTTGGGGCGAGTTCTAGCCTCAAAAGCGATTAAAAATATTGCAGGTAGTTGGATATCGAAACTTGGAAAAATCAAACAAATATACATGTATTTATATTAAATGAATAATATAGAAAAGGAAAACAATTCATAACATGTCTCATATATTAAATGCGAGATCTCTGTGGACAAGGTGTTAATTCATGCATTTATCATATACTTAGTAATAAATACACCGATTTTGCACTATGTAATACGGGCAAAGTCACAATACCCCATATCAACGACGGGTCCAAAAACTTATATCACAAATAAGACCTGTGTGCAAAATTCCATATCAAACCGGAAGTAACGTTTTTAAAAGTTTATAAACTTGATTTTATTGAAATATGCATGTAATAAAATCCATGAACTAAAATTTGTTGACTTCATGAGTTTAAAAATGACCTAAAATTGGCTCTATTATTTTTTAAAGAAAAACGTCAAATGCATGAACGAAACATTCTTAAATGATTTTGTTAACTCACATATTAAATATTTTAAGTGATAAATAGAATACTTCATACTAAGATCCATATCATAAGTCATGTCAACCCTCGGGCGACATATCAACCCTCGGGCCACATATCAGCCCTTGGGCTGTTATGGGGCAACTCATGTTGATATGACATATGTCGATATGGATTTTAGTATATAATATTTCCTACGTATTTAACGGAACACTTTCGTTAAATATCGTTATATATAACTTTAAATATTATTGTGTTCCCTGTACCTTCTACCATGTTGATATCAGTGGCAATATATTGAATCTTCACTTTACTTAAAAATACTTGCATTATGAAAATTTAATGCTGGTAAAATTGAGACAGTTGTTCTTCAAAAAGAATTTTTTAAAGGTATTAAATGTTAACAAAAACAGACGACACACAAACTTTGATCTGTAAGATAACGGGACTCTCTAGCTCAGGTGAGCTAAAAGGCCCATGTGTTATCTTGTACAATCACCCAGAAACTCAAGTAATCAAAACCCTCAGAATTTCTTTCTGTGTGTGGACCTTAATTAATATTTTCACCAAACAGTAGTTACAATTTGAATGACCGAATTATATTTATTTGGTCATTATATATATTCCATACGTGTTAAGGTTTGAAAAACGTGTACAGTAAAACACACTTAAATTAGGCCAATGTAAATAAATAGTGTGTTTCCTATTCCAACCCGAGAAAAAATAGGGTAGGTAGGTAGGGAAAACATTTTTATTGTATTTTAACATTTAAGTAGTTCAATTTCAACTTTGACAATCAACAAATTGAGAAAAACAAAGAGTCCATTTCTTTTATCCAAAAGGACGGCTTACTAATGGCATTTCTGTTTAATGTGTATAGGATATGCATTTTCTCAAACACTGAAGTGATCGAGATTAGGATTCCTAATAGTGAAAATGGAATTGTTTACTTCCGGATAAATTTTCCAGGGTCGGTTCATATATTTTAGGGTCGGTCGGGGAACCGGAAACACACAATTTATTTATATAGGCCTTATAACGAAGTGCCAGGGATGGGCGATTTTGCTTCGTTATATATCCGTTAGAAGCAACTGGGAATGAAAATCACTTCGCTATAAGCGTCAATTCATTATAAGCGTGTTCACTATAAGCATATTTTACTGTACATCCCGCATTTAAAAGATATCCTATTTGACCGCACTTCACTTCGTTATTGATTAAAAGCTTGTTTCTTACCCCATACTGCTCTAGATACAATGTCATGTAATGAAGAAACTATAGTTTTAGTCGTGTGATCAGTAGCACAGGCGCTTGACGTTTTTAACCTTTCTTTCCATAAATATAAAATCCCCCATACTATAATAATAACAAGATTATAGTATGGGGGATTTTTTATTTATGGAAAGAAAGGTTAAAAACGTCAAGCGCCTGTGATCAGTAGAGCTGTTTTCTGTGTATTGAACAAAAAATTCTATTAGTGATATGATACTGTGTTTTATAAAGCAATACGCGATATACTGGAGTATCCATTCTATCATGAGTCTTATGAATCATTTCATGCATTGATTTATAAGGACTGACTATTTTTATATCCAACATAAAGTTCTTGTTGATTCAAACCTTTAACACGTTTAAAACCACAGTGGTCTAATGTGAAATACAATAATCATTTAAGATATGCAATCTGCTTAATTTTTATTTCACATTATGGGTTAATTAATTTTCAAAAAAGTCAAATGTTATCTGTGACGATTGAAATTCAAAACTTTAACATTGAATTTAAAGACAGACTGACTGGCCGATACATATTGGAAGCTAATGTTTAGATACGATACACCCTCGAATAATCGCTGAGTATCGATATACTGAATCAACCTCCACAATGATTACAGTTTGATTAGACTCAGGTGTTTCTGATTATTAATAAGAACAAGTCTATAGTGAAAGAAACACGGAATTTTTATTGTTGGCTTTGAGACATTGCTCAGGGGAACTCTTTCTTAATTTAGAATCAACATACCACGTGCATTTTTGTTTCATCCATGGGATTTCAGATTGTTGAGACAAACGAGAAAGAAGATTCTCATGGTTTTCCAGTATTTCCACGCGTGATCCTGAATATAAAAAAACAGTGAAAAAAAGTTTAATTAAATCACTACTTCATAGGTTTGATTCAGAAGTTCCATAACATGCCTTGTAAATAACAACTTATTTTCAATCAGCATTTTTATTATTATTTTATTATCGGGATGATCAGTACATTGTACCTTTGTAAATATCATCTATTTGACTGAATGATTACCCGGGGCAAACTTAACAACCATATTATGATCATCATTAATTCCAAAACTTCTTATCAAACCGGAAAGCAGAAAATATCACAAAATACGTAAAACGCGTAATGGAACCAGCATCAGTTAACAATTACATTGCGTTTATTTAACATTTGATTCCATTATGCATGGTTTCCTGAGTGCGGAACTTAACACAATAAATCAGTTCGATAACTCATGAAATTCCGGATTGAAATGTCCAGACCGACTCTATGGTATTTAACCGTAGACAAATACTGGACATCAATATAGGTACCCGCTCTCTATAAAATTGATTATCAAATCTGTTGTGGCATACAGAAAATAATTCAGTCGTTTCTATATCAGGGAAATTCTGAATTTGTTAGCGTGGTTTTATCCACTAATTAAAGAAACCATAGTAGTGTCCAGCCAAGACTTACAAACACCTGTATCAGGTAGATCAACTATCGATTCCCCAATCTCAACTAATCACCGAACGATGACAAAAGAGCATCGCTTCACCATGGTGACTTACTAATGACCAGCCATCATTAAGCTTTACCGACTTCCTGCATCAGACCACCGATTGAAATGAAGCGCATCTGTTGACTCGCTCTGTCATCGATTTTAATTTTGTCGCGTCTCAGCGGGTCCTTTTTTATAACGAGGATGAATATTGTGCAGCCTTGAGCAATCTGTGCTTTTTCTTTTGTAGAGTCGATGGCGCACGCTGTCCCCCGCCTCCTCTGATGCTGTTGTCACGGATACTGACCTACCTCGGGCCCATGTCTCTTCCTTCCAGGCGATGATGCAGACACGGGGGCGCCGGAAGAGCATGCCGATTTTCCGGACGGAAAGTGTGGACATTTCGGACAATGATAGTGATGAGGATCCGTATAATCGTAGTTCTCGGCGCAGGCGCTCTAGGCGCCAGAGCAGGCGACATTGTCGTAAAAGTCGACAAACATCTCCAGCTCAGGCAGTCCGGACGTCTCTCGGAAGGTACGAGGGAAATGATACCTACGAGAATAGCTATCCCAATGCGGGTGAAATAGAGTTTATATCATGTGATCTTCCCAACCAAGGGGAACTATTTTACTACATGTCGGGAGACTCCGACAACGACAGTATAGGGGAAACTTCCGAACATTTAAGTAACCGGAAGCCGGACGGTCAGAGTCATGATTCATCGGAACACCTTGTGAATGTACTATCTCCCGATCACATGGGCAGCATTTCGTACGGTGGACGACATGACCCCCAGTTTTTATACCCAGCAAATAAAAATCCTGAGAGGATCGTGATAGATAGTGCATGTCGGGATATAGAACGGAGATTTTCTAATGAACCAGAACACCGATATGATCTCATATACAACACTCCGCGTACCGAAAGACGCCGAAAGAATCCGATCGTTGATCCTAAATATCTGACTCCAGAAAATCCGGAGAGAAACAGGAGTTATTCCTCGGATTCTAATTCGTCTATGAGATCTTTTGTGTCATCAATTACTGATCATGATCACGCCGAAATTCATCAAATACCATTTACTCAAGGTCAGTATCAATCAACTATATCGTCATTTTTATTTGTCTAGCTAGTGTCCTTGACCCCAGCATATTCCAGCCCTCATATCCTTGACTTTGCAGTAAATATTCCAATCTTTGGAAAATTGAGATAGGCCTAAGTAAAAATTCAAAACATGTTGCTTGCTTTAGCCTGTCGATACCGCTCTAGGTTCGGATATTTGATGGTATGTTCTCTTTAGAAATTCTATTGTAAAATCTATAGATTACATTTATGAACGTGTTGTCCCTTTCTTTGTTTAAGAGGGACGTTTTAAGTTTTCTAAAATCTTTTCAGATTGCATCATTTACGTGATTAATACACAACAGCAATAACAGTAAGTGATAGTAGGAAGATGCACCTCGGCAGTGTATAGTAATTATCCCACTCCTTGTATCCATATCGTTTCCAGAGTCTATCAGTAAAGAGAACGACCACGTGTGATCGATTGACATTATAGATTTAAAAAAAACATATTTCTTAATTAAGCCTTTTCTATTCCAAACCTCACTCTCAAATCACTCCTCCGAAAAAAAATTTAAGTACCCTGATACTCGTTATACTATCATTATTAGAAAATGAACGGATTCTCTTGTGATATTTCATTTGAATTTAATATTTTTCCAGAATCTTAAATCAGCTACAGTCAAAGCAATAAAAACGAAAGTTCATTTCACACGGGATTCAGCAGAGCTTTTATTACTGTTACTTGCAGCGCCCTCTTGCGAACGTTCTCTGTACAAAAGCATTTCTGGTCTTTTATTAGCTCACCTGAGCAGAAGGCCTTCTGATGGAAGAGCTTCTAGCGCCTGTTGGCCTATTATTGTGTCTATTATCTGCAACCTTTTTTCATCTCCATCTCCAAAACCAATGGATTAAATTCAAGAGCCCGGTCAATAAAAAGGGGGGGGGGCATTCTTTACAATCCTTTCACGTAGTAACAAACTTACAATAACGAATAATCGTGTACGTACTCCCCCTCCCCTCTCTCTCTCTCTCTCTCTCTCTCTCTCTCTCTCTCTCTCTCTCTCTCTCTAGGATAAGTAAATTCAAAGAATTGGGGTCCGCCGTTTTCAGTGTCTTAGTGAGATGCAATTATTTATGGCATATAAATGTCTTGTTTGTTTTTCCTGTCATGTCTGTGCATCATACAAAAAAGACACAAATAATTGCATTAATAACAGTTATGGCAAAAATTTTAATCTTCTCACAACTGCATAAAAACTTCAAGGTCGAGGCTATGAGTTCAAATACCATAATACAGTCCGAAAGATCTTGTCACAAGTAATACACATGTGGAAAAAAAGACATATGAAAGTTTTATTTCTTCTGGAGCAAAAGTTATGGCCAAAGTAAAAAAAATATGAGATCAATATGTAGATCAAAATTCTAGATCAAAGTCAGGAAGTCAAAAATGATACATCTTTCTGAAAGGTGTTGTCATAGATTTTGTACATATAAAAATATGAAAGCCCTGTCTTCTCTCATTCAAAAGTTATAACCAATGTAAAGTTAATTTGAAAAAGACTGTAGATTAAACTTCAAGGTCAAGGTCACGAGGTCAAAAACTAGAGTACATTCAGAAAGGTCTTGAAGTAATACACATATGTGAAAAAAATTAGATAGCGTTGTCTCTTATGGCCAAATTTAAAAAAAAAATGATAAGTAGATCTAAATTCTAGGTCAAGGTCAGGAAGTCAAAAATGATAAATCTTTCTGAAAGGTTTTGTCATAGGTAATGTACATGTAAAAATATGAAAGCCCTTTCTTCTCTCATTACGTTATTACCAATGTAAAGTTAATGTGAAAAAGACTGTAGATTTAACTCCAAGGTCAAGGTCACGAGGTCAAAACCAAGGTAAATTCAAAAAAGTCTTGAAACAGATAATGCACATGTCAAATGTAAATGCCGTATCTTCTCTCAATCAAAAGTTATCAGAAATTTTAAAATTTTTGAAAATTAAGTCAAACCTCAAGGTTAAGGTCTTCGGTGTAAATCATAGTATATTTGGAAATGTTGTCACATGTAATGCACATGTCAATTATGAAAGGCTTATCTTTTCTTATTCAAAAGTTATTACCAATGTTAATTTTTTTTAAAAGTAGATCAAGCTTTAAGGTCAAGGTCACGGGGTCAAAAATTATAGTATATTTGGAAAGATGTTGTCACAGGTAAGGTAAAAGAGAAATGGGAAAATCCTATCTTTTCTTATTTAAAAGTTATGACCCAAATTAAAGTTTGTTAAAAATTTTTAGAAGTAGGTCAAACTTCAAGGTCAACTTCACGGAGTCAAAAATCATAGTACATGTACTTAGTTTGGAAAGGTCTTGTCACAGGAAATATACATGTGAAATATGGAAGCCCTATCTTTTCTCATTCGAGAGTTATGACCAAGGTTAATTTTTTGCGACAGACAGACTGACAGACGAAGAGACTGCCAGATGACAGACTGACAGATGAATGAGATTTGGTGTCCCCTCGCGGACAATAACCAGGGAGGATAACATCAGGGGGAAACAAGGAGGGCCACGCCAAAAAAGTTTTCAAGGGAACAACGAAGGTCATACATCAAGAAGATAAGCAGGGAGGGCAATATTACGGGGAGGGGGTTATCAAGTAGGAACTCCAAAAGCATTTACACTTGTATATCAATTTCAAATCAATATAATTCCTGAATTAATTGTGATAATGAAACAAAATTTACAACATATGTATAAATTTGTGTATTAAACAAACCTGCAAAATTTTATGCTTATATGTTAAATAAAACTTAGGATATTAAAAATCAAAATTTTGACTTTAAAAGTCTGTTCTCAGTTTATGGTCTTGAGGTCTGAAATCAGTCTTGATTGTAAAAGTTGTTCATGTTAAGAGTGTACACTTTGGTAATCTACACCCCACCCCCAATCTTAAAAACCTCAATACTCACTTGAGCCATATAGCAGACTGTAAAATACTTGCCACGCCCCTTCGGACAATTTATTTTCTTCTTAGTATGACCCGGTGCTTAGTGATCTTTGTGCCTCTCGTTACTTCACACCCAGATGACGTAATGCTCTCTGTTTTCCCTGAAAAAATTAACAGTTTTTGCACAAAATATTCGTATGTAAAGTGAAACAAAATTTATTCATTTCATTTACCTCATCCCTATCCTTGAGGAGTGGGTCAAACATGCATATTGCAAACTGTATAACTCCTGTTTCCCACTGACTTGTTACATTTAGTACGAAAATATACAATAGATCGTCTTTTATATACATGTATAATGATATTGTTAAATTCTCGTTTCCTGTGTCCACGTTCCAGGCCCAATACATTATATCTTTAAGATTTTCTGTATCCCGTCCCTATAACTTGATTCTGCCGGAAATTTTTTAAAATACTGATAATGGATAAGACCCTTCTAACGAAATTGTAAAATGTATGTCTCCTGGTCCTAAAATTAGGCCGTCTAAGAATATGGCTAAATTCGAGAAATGTCCGTCATGGTGTGAGAGGTACGTAATCTCAAAACCTTGACATCGTGAAGATGTGTCTTTATGTTCCCTGTAGATGAGGCATGTTATAATACAATAAATGTAGAGGTGATTAAAATTTTCATTTTAATTGTGTCCTCTTTATATTCCTACAGATTATCTCACGTCGCTGGAGCCACGAGAAATTCTTCTGTATCGTGACGTCAAAGATCAAAGTACCAGGTGTAAGTCACGTGATCTAACTATTAATCTCTTAAAGAGGTATATACTTGAAGTAATGGCAATTTTTCGTGAAGTATATTTTCAATATCTAATGTTATGAAGAAAAATAATACTGAAGAGATGAAGATGTTACATGCTTTGCTTCTTACGCCAGTTAAACTTGACCTTTTTGCACTTAGAAAAAAAATAAATATTGATTTAAACCTTGTTGTTTAAACAAATATTAAGAATATGTCAATATGCCTTAAATAAACAAATATTCAAGAATAATAAGTTTTGGTCAGAAAAAAATCCTTGATGTCCAAAATATGAATCTGATCTTCTTGCACTTGAAAATTAGAAAATTTATCATAACAAAGTATGTTTCTGTAATTCAGTGAAGGAGTGATGTCATTTTTTAAATTGTTGCATGAATATTATCGTTATATCCTCTATTGTATATGTCGAAAACAAAGACATAGGGTCACATTTCATTTTTTTTTTCAAGTAATTAGGGTTATAAATAATTTTTTTTAAATGTTATGGTACATGTACTGGTATTTTTCGAGAAATTTTATGAATGTAAGCCTTATGTATTTTAATAAGACATCGAATCGTTTATTTTTAAATTCGATAAATAAGGTTTCAGTTTCCACTGTTTGTCTTATGTCTGAAAAAAAAAAATAGTTGTGCATAACGATTAGTTAATTTTCGGAGATATTTGAAAGCCAAATAGAATGAAAATTTACAATTTGCATGCATTTTTTGCTTGAAATCCTTCCGCACGAAAAAATAGTTCCAACTATCCAAAACTTTTTCATAATTAAGTTCAACTTTACATTTTACAACTTTACATTTACGAAATTAATGTTTTCCATAATATAACACTATTTGAGCAATACGAATCTATCCATCTATAAATACAGATTCGTCTCATGACCACGAATTAAAGAGGGATTCCTCTCATATTTCTTGTATTTAAAAATTAATGAAATTTTCCTAGATTCAAGAAGACATTATCATTAAGTGATGGTATGACCGTTTTATTTTAAAAGCAAGGTCAGGTCAAGGTCATTATCTTTTTCCTTGACCTTAAGAATAAAAAATACCGTAATAAAGTAGTAATATAAATGTACAAATTGATACAAAAACAAAAAGTTTTGACCGTTTACTAAGAGAGAAAAAACACTTTTTACTGATTTTTGGCTCAAATCTGTAATTAGACCGGAAGCTTTTAAAAGTTAACAAAATTGTAGTTTGTTTGGAAAATCATATTTATTTAATATATTTTAAAACTTCAGTCCATTATTATTAATTTTACTTACATTTGAAATTTTCTATTCGCCTTTGATTGTTTAAAAATTGTAACTAAATTCATTGTTCTATGGTAATTTTGAGAAGCAGAAAAGGAGATATTTTCATACGCCGCTGCTCCGCCAAAAATATAGTCCCTGCTAGATTTCAAACTCAGTTTACCATTTCTATTTAAAGTTGTACAATTATGGTGAGGAAAGAAAAATGTGATCTTTTAAATCCCTTACATCTAAATATATAAGACATATAAGCAAATATACTATGAATATTTCATCTAGTCAGAAACCAGACAAGAATCCCTCCTTAATCGTTATAAATGCTCGACGTAATTTCTCAGTGCCGAGTATAGGTCTGAATTTGAAGCCCTCCACCGGCAAGTGATGGCGTGGAAAATTCTCGAGAGGGATATTTAAAAAAGCGATTCTTTGTAACCACTTTAACTTCTTTGCCACGCATGGTCACCGATTTTGTTGAAACTTTGCCGATTATTACAACTTGACACCAGAAACATATATCAAATAAAATTTTGTTGCTATGTGTCTTGGTTGCTTGGTAACAGCCAGAAAAGTTAGAAAAATTGAGATTTTCAGCTTCATGTACTTTGAATCTTTATTAAGCCTTAATAAAGACTAAGAAAAACAAACAAACCATTCTCACAAAAACATGACACCTTGTTGCCACTTATGCTATAAATAAACTATTTAGAATATATATCTTAGTAAGTGGTAGCCATGGGTACATTTCGAATACATTTTAGATGCTGCAAAATGCTGAAAAGCGCTCAATATTCACTAATGATAGGTATTACTTGATCAAACTCAATCAACAACCTAAGAAAAACAATAATAATATTTGACTTTAAGTAATTAGGTATTGGCAATATTATTCTAAAAATAACTTTCATGGTTGCCATGGTAACACAGTGTAACCATGCAAAATCTGTTGCTAAGATTGGGTTGATGCTACTATCTTGAGGAAAAACAATATTAATAAAAATTCATGACTAGCATATAAACATCCTTAGGACCTTGCAACACCGACAGCATAAGAAAAATTGGGATAAATTGTTACTTTGCAGTGTAACCATGGAAACAACGTTTCAGTTGTTTAAAGTGATTTTTTTTTTTTTTTTTTTTTTTTTTTTTTTTTTTTTTTTTTTGCTGCTTTAGGAATTTACTTACCTTTTATCAAGAAACATATTTGACTCACCTTGAATGGTACTTATCTGGTAGAACTAAAGTTGAATATCATATATTGATAAAGTTTGATAAAAATACAACACTGTTGCTGTGGTTACCAAGAAGGGAAAATGTTCGATTTTGTTAAGTTTATATAAATATTAAACCCTATGTGCCAGCTTTTTGCATCCAGTTAGAGATTGGATGTTGGATGGTAGTCAAAATTGAAAGTCAGGTTTATAAATCATAAAAGTTTTGGGAATCTACATACAAGAGTACGTATTCAAGGAAACAGAATATTTTTCTGATTTTAATGCATATTTTTTCGGGTAATTTCCATAGCAACGCTCTATTTAAAGAATTTAATTTGACTTTTTTTGAAATGTAAAAATTAGGGTCACACCAACGCCTTTAAAAATTGATCATCAATTATATAGAATTATGCTTTTTAAAAAAAAATTGGATAAGATTAAAACACTAAGAGAGTAAAGAACGAGGGCGCTTTTGATTGACGTTCGGCAGGAATCAGAATATATATAAGAAGCCAAACTGCATGAGTATTTCTCTAAAATATCAGAAAAACACGAGCCTGACTTTAATGATAGATAATGAGTCAGATCTGAGTAACGGACGAGACGAGAAGATTATTGTTTTGCTGCATCTACTGGAGAACGTGATGGCTATTTCAGCTCGATTTCATGCTTTTATTAAACTTACGTAATCACTGAGGAGAGATGGCGAGGAAATCACGGTGTTCTATTGATTACTGAGCTGCAGAATAAAAATCGGGGACAGTCTTACAATTCTCCATCTTATATATCGGTTTTCTTGATATGTAGACAATAGACAGACTTGTAATGTATAATTGATAAATTCTTATCTCTGTTATATTCTATCTAAATTACAATTATATATGATTCGGTCATACAATGCACTACATCAGAGGAATGTTGTTGTTGTAGTTTTTTTTTTTTTTTTTTTTTTTTTTTTTTTTTTTTTTTTTGAAGAAAAGTACAGGCCATATTGATATTGAAGATAACATTACACACACGTATGGATTTTCTCCTTTGATTGGAGGACTTAAAACAGAGAGCGCCTTTTAAAACTCTGTTTCTCAGAGAGGTCTTTAATCCAGTTTTGTCGATTATTTTACTACAGCTTCCGGGTTAGGCATGCGTGTTATGTTTGGTAAAAAGGGTTACGGCAGGAAGCTGGGGGCGTTTGTGTCAAAGGTGGAGAAAAACGGACCGGCCGACTCCTACGGTATCCGGAAAGGTGAAAGCAGTGTATATTAATTAATAATTTACAGGTTTATATTTAAGTACAACAGAATGATTTCTGTGGTCACTATCAATAGGGACTTTGTAAAATGCTTTTAATTACTTTGTGGGTATTTACATTTACTTTTCAATGTAGAGAGCTTCATAAAACTAGACCCTGGCTACAGAATCACATTGATAAATTAAGACTTTGAATAATAGAATGTTTCTCTGTCTTCCGTTAACATGGCAGACTTGTCAGTTTAAAGATTAAAAAAAAATCTTTATCTTAAGAGGGTCGATTGTTTCCATTTGCAAAGTAACTACTTCCAGAAAACGAACAATTACAACTTAAGTAATTGATAATATGTTGACGGTGCGACCGTTGGGGCGAGTGCATTGTTCACTTCATTTTAAGATCCGCCTCTTCAAACCTCACGAGACATTTGGAACGTCTAGACTGTGACGTCACATGACGTATGTTAGCTGCATTTCCATAAACAAAGTTTAAAAACTGCACATATTTTAACAAAGAACGTTTAATCTACTATCTGCATGCAATATCCATTAAATTAAGGTGAGTTTATTTTTTGTGAAATTTTAGTTGTTGTTACCGCGTGAATGAAGTTAGCAGCGAGAACAAGAAGCGATGCATTGTGGGTCAGAATTACTGCGGAAAAAAATTCTATTGAACGAATGTGCAGTAGTCCGAATTTTCTCTTCGCCCAGGCGTTGTCGTTAGAGCTCGCAGTGACGAGCGGCGCTTCGCGCCGCTCGCTGCGCTCGCTATAATTCAGTACCACGGTGAAATACAGAAAATCGGTTATGCTGTTACACTACATTATAGATAATTTTACCACTTGGTCTCATTTGATTTACAGTATTTGATTGATCTTATTTAGGAGATCAAATACTCCTCTGGAACGGCAAATCTTTAATGGGGACAACTCTCGAGGAATCCATGGATGTCATAGGTCAAAGTTCAGACGTGGTTCAGCTGCTAGTAGTACATCACACGACCAGGTTATAATAATCATAAAATATATTGTGATATTTCAGTATAAATGGCATTAGCCAATGAAATGACTTGTATATGGTTTCAGTTTCAGTGACAACGAAGACATGAGTACTAACACGTGTGAAAACACATTACCATGTGAGTATCTACATGTTTTATAGCAAGACACGGTTACACCAAATTCTAGAGTAAAACGTCAATACATTTGTATATTTATTTACTAAAGTTTTCTGCAGTGTACGTTTTACGATCGTGTATATCTTCGTATTGCAGACTTACAGACCATTATTAGTCCCCTACCGGTGAAACCGGGGGGGGGGGGCTATAGGTTTCCTCTGAGTCTGTCCGTCCGTCTGTCTGTCTGTCCCTCTGTCTGTCTGTCCCACTTGGTTTTCCGCGCTTTTTTCTAAACACATGCAGATATTGAGCTGATTTTTGGTATGTGAGTGTATCTTGATGAGTCACAGACCAAGTTTGCATTTCGTTCCGCTTCTGATCAATGATTTTTGATGGAATTACAACCTTTTCAATTTTTCAGAGTTTTCCGCATTTCTTTTTTTCTAAACGCTTGCAGATATTGAGCTGATTTTTGGCATGTAACTTTACCTTGATGAGTGATAGATCAGGTTTGCATTTCGTTCCGCTTCATTGATTTTTGACGGAATTATGGTATTTTCAATTTTTAACGGGAACCAGATTACACTTGCCGGTAGGGGACTAGTATTGCTAATGCAATACTCTCAGAATGCTTATATTTTATTTTTTTCAGACAGCACAACGACACGAGGGTCGGACGATCGCTCAAACTGCGCCACGCCTCCTACAACACTGAATCTCACCCGAAAGAGGAGAATGCTTCCAAAAACACCGGTAAAATTAAACAAATACCGGTAAAATTTAACAAATATCGGTAAAAAAATGAACTGGTAAAATTTAAAAACAAACAAACAGGTAAAATTAAAAAAACAAAAACAAAATCTTAAAGCCGGAATTTAAAAAAAAAAAAAAAAAAAAAACGGTAAAAGAAAAACAAAAACACTGGTAAAATCTAAAACAGCTTTAGTGAACAGTTGCCAAGGATAGTTTTATGTAACATCTTTAGTAGACAGTTTGTAAGTTTAGTTATATATTTGTTAATTTCGTTTACAATAACTGATTCTATACAACAGGATTCAGTACATTATTTATCAGTAAGCCAGTTATCGACTGTTTGGGGAATTTGCTGACTTTGATGTTTTAATGAAGTTTCATATATTTAAGGTTGAAATCAAGAAAGAGGATCGTAACGTGAGTGGATGCGTGCGCATGTTAGTGTCGCACGAGGATTCCTGTTTGTCGATCACACTGATTAGCGCTGAAAATCTTGTTTCTGTTGATCCCTTGACGTCACTAAACCCTGTCGTCATGGTACACATTCTGCCCAATCGTGGGTAAGATACACTTGAACTATTTGAAATTCAGCGCCTTCTAATAGCTAAGCCTAGTAATCGATGTAATTCATTGACAGAGTTATTTTTTGGATGTCGTCGGTCGTTTACCAGCACCTGGCCGTGCCGACAGATGAATACCACACGTTAGCGCGGTACGATAATTTGTCGACACGGCCAGACTGTTGTTTGACCCATGAGATAAGCTTTTGGTTACCTTCATTCTCATTTTCTCTCTTTATAAATTTTAATTTCTCTTCATCTTTACGATAACTTCAGCGCATTTTAGAACTAGAGTGGGTAGTAGACGGAAGAGCTTAGTAGACTGAAGAGCCAAGGCTGTTTAGAAAGGGAAAGTTTAACGCAATTGAATATTGGAAAAAAAGATAATTAAGTTTTAATCGTAAAAATGTTATAGTGAGCGCAGCAAGCTCAATAGACTTACGTGTAAGAACAGAGAAAATTCGAATTGAAATCTGTATATTCGTCAAGCAAATTTTCATGTGAAACCTTCCCAGAATTCTTTCACTACTAGCATTCCATGCAATAATATACACTTATCCACTGACTGTGAGTGGGATAGCTCTTTTATCAAACCCACGACAGGAACTATTCCCCGAGGGCTTGCCCGAGGGGAATAGTTCCTGTCAAGGGTTTGATAAAAGAGCTATCCCAGTCACAGCCAGTGGATAAGTGTTTTATTATACTGATGTATATCATAATTTCTGAGGGTTGGATTTACCTGATACTACAGTTCTATAGTAAAAACATGAAAAAAAAATTTAAAAAGTCTTGAACAAGTATCTGGAATAAGATAACACTGCTAGAATGAGCTGAAATCCTGATGACGTCACAATGCTACTGAAGTCAGTATGACATCATAAGTCTATAGATTGATTACAGGAAATCAAAAATGACGGCAAAAATTGCATGAAAATTTTCCGAGGGGTGGATAGCAAAAACTATATCCCGGGGTATAGCTTTGCTATGTGTGGGAATTTTGAGACTATAAAGATAGTTATTTTACCTTCTTAACTTTATATAGGAAACATTTTAACAGAAGTATAATAATGGCGAATATAACAGGCCTACAGTTATCGTAAATGTTTAATTCTTGCAGAGCGCTTAAAAGAAACAAAAAACAAGTACAGTTTTTTTTTTCAAAAAGCTTTACCTTCTTTAGCAACACCCTTAAACTGTAAACTGACATACACCTTTAATAGGCTGTATTATTTTGAGTACTGTAGTTCTTGGCTTTGTACTTCTTCAACAGCTTTTTTACAGACATTAGCCCTACCATATGAATGAAGGAAAAAAGAATAAACATACATTTCAATGGTTTCATGCAGATAAAGAACTTTCTGTTAATTATGAAAATATAGAAAAACTTCAGTTGCTTTAAAAATGAAGTGTCGATTTCATTTACTGAAATTTTTCTTTTGTTCGTTTTGTCCACTTTTTTAAGATTGAAAATCTTGGAAAAATTGTTAAATCGTACGAAAATTAGATCACCAGAAAATTGTCTACCTTGCCTAGCATAGCATTTTAACCAATGAAATAATTGAAAATTATCACATCATGCATTTTCTATCAATTATAGAAGATCATAGTCCGAAGAACGTAAAATACTTAAACTCTGTATATTGTCTTCCAAAGAAGGCGGTAATAATTGCAACTACTCTACAATGTCTTTCGTTAAAAACTTCCACGAAGCCTATTTCAACTTCGTTACGGAAATGCAACTTACATAACGTCATGTCAAGTGATAGTGTAGACTGTGTTGACATCTGTTTGAAGACGCGGATCAGTCACATTTTTACAAGTGTAAGTTGTGCAAAGGTTTTTGATGCTACATCTGCGCTCGCCCCAACAGTCACACCGTAAAACATTTTTTTAACGGGGTAATTTTTTTAAGTTTTAAATTAGGCAAAAACAATACACATTATGGTGTAACAAATGTATTGAAAGTGTATGTAGTTCCCATTGTGTATTCTTGCGCCGTGATAAGGTTAAGAATGTTCCTTATAGCATTTCATTGAAGAAAAATCCACTGATACTAGCAGGGACCTATATACTAACATTAGTATATAGGTCCATGATACTAGTGAATATCTATATATATACATGTAACGACTGGATTATTTGGGTTAAACTGTTTTTGTTAAACTAACAAATCTATCTTAAATGCAAATAGTCTGTTCGTACAATAACAAACAAGACATTAGTGTGTATTTCATTACGATCTTTCATGGAAGACGATATACATAGTTAAAAATTATACAGTCTCCAGACTATTCACTTCCTTTCTATTGTTATTGATAGGAAATTTATGATGTGAAAATGCTGTTCAGGGCAATGGAGAAAGGTAGATACTTTTCTCTAATTTTCGAACGGCTTATTAATTTTTTCAAGATTTTCAATCTTTAAAAAAATCGACAAAACGAACAAAATAAAATTGCATATTTAAACTTTTTTTTAGCAAACTATTATACAGTTTTTCTTTATTTCCATGGTTAGCAGAATGGTCTTTTTTGGCTTGCATTGAAATTGTGTTAATTCTTCTTTCCTTCGTTCATATGATAGGGCTTATATCTGTAAAAAGCTGAAGCCAAGCTTAAGAGCTACAGTATTCAAAAATAATACGGCCCGATATTGTTGCTAAAGACGGCAAAGCTTTTTGAAAAAAAAAACTATACTTTTTAGTCTTGATTAATCGTATGGTGCCTCTTAATATATTTACTATTTAAATGGCTTTTCATTTTATAGGAATCCACAATTTATCAAACACGATTACAGTCAGTATTTTGGAAAATCTTTAAATAAAAGTAACTCTTGTGATTTTGCAGTATCATTTGTCCTGATGCAATATCAAATTGCGTTATGTATGCGTTATACATTCGGAACACAAGACGTTTTCAGCATTTTTTTTCTCGGGGGGTTGGGGGCGGGGGTAGTCCCCTCTCCACAAGTATAATAAATATGTAATATCCACCTGTTACAAGTGACAAAGATAGAGATATTCAGAGAATTAAGTGATACGTGTACAAATATAATGAAATAAAGGTTGAATGTTGAATTTTCTTTCTACATTCCACAGTTGTTTTCCCATGCATCAAACCCAGCTTCAGTACAACACAGCCAATCCGAACTTTAACGAGACATTCAACTTCCACGACATCTACCAACAAGAGGTGCCATTTCTCTCTGCTATACATTTATTATTTTTTCTTAAGGAATGTGCCTCTCCATTTTCAAAAATATTAAATCATCATGCCACTGTGATCACTTATAATCAGTTTCTCAAGTCTTTATTCACTTTCAATGATACTGGTAGTTCTTCGGTTGTTTTTCTTTTTTTCCCTTTTTTGACATGCTCCTTTGACGTAGAAAATAACGTCATTTATATAGTTAGATTGTTCCTTTGATTTATTGCAGAACATATAGTCATTTACTGTACCATCTATATTTTGTCAGTTGAGGAAGTTGTCCCTAGAGGTAACACTATGGACAGTAGTAGATGACAACTACCTGTTCTTGGGGGAGGTTCTTCTTGATTTTTGTGACCTACAGTTGGACAATCAGGTCCATAATTACGACCTTCAGGACCATGACGAAAATAGTTCCCCTCTTCCGGTGCGCAAGCGTAAAGAGTCTTCTGACGTGACCACTGCTAGTCCCCTTACGTCAATTAATGATGGGTCAAGTTGGTCGACCAGTCCCGGTGTGCAATCTTCTCCTAGGAGGGAACCCCTGCATTGTGACGACAGATACCACGTGACCAGTGGATTTACTAATGGTATAATTTCTTGAATAGATTCGGGGAGAATAAAATTAGACAACTCTTAACATTTTATTTTCTAAAGATTTGATATACATTGTTTCATTAAGATCTCATTCAGGGATATGATGCATCTTTGCACAGTTGATTCCATTCAGGGAATTCCACAAATGTAACTGTTTGCACACATACTGTACTCTGTTTACTATGCAATTTCCTGTATTAAATACATGTTGTAATGCATGCATACAAAACAACTTTTCTCAATGTGCGCAAGAATGTATTTCATTTCTAAAGTGGAAGTATAGCCCTTCTTTTTTCTTTTGGAAGAAGTTAACGCGTCAATATAAGTGTCTCGTGAAGATTACACTGTAGGGGAACAGGGCGGAGACGATGTAAAACTAAGATCTGACGCTTCCCAATAAAGTCTTTTAACGGAACATAGGTGATTGTTTTGTATTAGATCCGGGCATTTTTTTTTCTCTACGTCGTTTTATTGTAGGCCGAGACAGGAGGTTCAAACTTAATGTAACACAGTCAGTCCCGAACTCCCCCCAGTTGTCCCCCATCAGTGCGTCCGAGGAATCAATGCATCTCGGGGGTAAGTCCTCACTGTGCTGTTGTACAGAGGCCTGTTCAACAGAGCGAACGTTCGCGAGCGCTCGCGAACATTTCTGTTGGAAAGATAAGGAATTTTGGCGAGCGCTCGCGAACGTTCACTCTGTTGAACAGGCCTCAGGTGTAATGTGCATTATCACACGTAATACTAATTCACCTGCTGGACCAGCGATTGCTGGAATACTGTTAAATTAAGGTTAGCATTTTAGTAAAATTCTCTATACGTTGAATTTTTTTTTTCATAATCTATCGCTCGACTAGAGGTATGTACGAGTTCGGTTTAAAGAGTTGAACTGTATCCTTCTGATGTTACTAGTATTTTACTTGTTGAAGGAGAAACCCGCGGCAGTATAACGACATTAGTTCGGAAGAGGGTGTCTAACGCCATGTCTAAGGTGTCTGCCTTGTCGGGCGACAGTCGGAGACACAGCATGTGTACGTATCAGTGTCACTACTTCGAGTCTATCACGATTTTGTTTTGTTTGTTTATAAGAACATTTGATTAATTTACTCATTTGATGTAAAATACAATATGTGTTTGAATTTATCAAAAATCCGGTTTTAATTGTTTGATATGGATCCTTGGTTTTTTGTTTTTTGTTTTTTTTATTTTTAACAACAAAAGAATGACTTGTTCGTTTTGACAAGTGATCTTACTATTATATAATGATATACAGATGACCGCCGGAAAGACAAACTGTCCAATCGCAGTTCCAGTGTGTCTGATGCTACCCTGGAGACGTCTGGTCGTGTCTACGATAATCCGTCCCCCATCAGCCGAAGATCAGCTGTCAGCACCGTGTCAGGTGAAGTCAAATCCACAGGTGTGGGCAGATCCCCCACCTCATTGTACACCCCGAAAATTTTCCCTCTTTATAGATAAATTCCCTCCCCCACCCATCTCCCATTATACACCTGGGATATTTTCCCCCTTTTTTAGATAAATTGTTTTCCAGCATATATTTACAGAGTGGTCAATATGAAAAAAAAGAAAGAAAGAACATAGAATTAACTTTTTTCTAATCATGTTCGCCGTATTTAAAACTTTGAGGTACTTGCAACATATATTTTTTAAAAGATTATTTTATGTACTTTTTTGATCATTCATATTCAACACATTTGAAATATGCGCTCGAAGAACAAGTTACCGGCATGAAAAAAATCTCGGGGGATGAAAATATTGGGGGTTCCATGAGCACCTGTAGTTAAGTCTCTCAAGTAGCCAGACAGAGTATTATATTGTTTTATGATGCAAGACTTTCTGGTGAAAAGATCCCATTAGATACTTCCCCTGTGTTTAATAATGAAATCTTATTAATAATCAAGTTAAAGATAGTACTACATGTATGCACAAGACTAAGTATGTCTTTTTTTAAATTTAATGCCTATAGGATGCACTGATAAGATTTTAAGTAATTTTTAATACAAGCATTGGTATTGCACAGTACATGTTTAATCTTTCTTGGGGGATAAATCGTGTGAAAGGGCAGAATCCAATGTGTACAAATTTCCTTGACTAGTTATGGTGACATCTTTATTGATTGTGGGGGATGATTTCAGGTACAGAGGAGCTCGGTAAGCCACCACAGCCGTTAAACACGGGGGACAGCGCTGGTCACTTCCTGGGGGACGAGGAAGATAGCGGCGGTGAAAACGAGGCCAGGTAAGAATACCAGTATGTCAATAAGTGTTAAAATATTGCTGTGTTGTTTCTTTGGCTTATAGATATATATTTCAATTCCTTTTGTTTCCAGTAGCGGTGTCTGTACTACTTCCGGGAGACTCGATCCAGATGGGAATGACGTGACGTCACTACTGGGGCCAGGACAAGTGCCCCCGAAACCTTCAAGCGGTAAGTTCCATGATCCCCACCATTTTATCTTTAACCAAAGAGAACAGCACCATAAATCCTAAACTGTTTAATGATGAAGATACCAGTATCCCCTCCCCTGAAAACAAGAGGTTATCGCTAAATTTTGTAACTGACAATATTTGCTTGTTTGCTTGTTTAACGTCCCCCCGAGAATTTTCCCCTCGTATTGAGAAGCCACCACTTGCCGGTAAAGGGCTGCAAATTTAGACCTGTATTCGGCACTTACGGTCTTTGAGCAGTGAGGGATCTTTTCAGTGCCAGCACCTACTACGACAGGGGATCTCGGTTTATACTGTTGCATCTGAAGGAACGGTCTCCGTGTCCCACAGCTCTTATTCAATTTAAACATTACTTATCAAAGTTCAGGATCAAAAAGTTAAGGTTATTGATAGAAGCATGCCCCAGGACCATGCATAACTGTCATTTTCAGTTGCCCGCATGGCGTAGCGGCTAGGGCGTTTGCTCTAGTTGCAGAGTAAGGAGTTGATCGTTACGTCGCAGGTTCGAATTCAAGTCTCCATGTTAAAATATAAACCATTTTGACACAGACTTGAATAAATTACCTCAGAATTTTAACGTACTAGTATGTTCCTCTAGCTTTGTTTATCTGTGTAGTTAAAATGTTCTATCAGATTTCTCTGATTGAATAAGCACAGATTTTACAATATTTTGCTCTGCCTTGAGGTTTTAATGACATTTGACAAAAAAAAAATGATGTTCCCCGATCCAACATATACATATATGTAGTCTAAACTGAAAAAATAATTCGGGAACTTAAAACCTGAGAATAAACTTCATACGCTGTTTATTGTAATAATGAAATAATTCCTCTTTCCAGAAACGTCCATATGTGGCACAATTAGACTGGCCTTCATGGTGTCCAAAGGTCAGCTAGAACTGGACATTATCAACGTCACTGACCTCAACAGGAATCAACAGAGTAGTCCACCAGGTACGCTCTCTCTCTCTCTCTCTCTCTCTCTCTCTCTCTCTCTCAAATAAGTTTTCAGGTTACCACTGGTTATTGATTCTCATACTTAGCTAATTCGTGTCACCTATATAATTATACCGTTTTCGAAAAAAATAAGTCTCAAAAAAAAAATTGCAGATAAATTTAGATTTAATTTTATTCTTTAGAGTCAGAATCAAACATCACAGATAAGGTTGACAATATCCATTGTTGTGATAATATGTTTGGATACAAAAATATTCTGAAGGTCGTGTACATTGTTTATAGTCTTCATTGAATAAGTACAGTAAACCATACTATTCTATCAAGCCAGTTACGTTTGTGTAAAATGGTGAATTGTATTTTTGACAGATACATATGTGAAAGCCTATTTGGTAGGCGGATCTAAGGTTATTCAAAAGAAGAAAACACACACCGTGAAGGCTTCCTTTAGTCCGTTCTTCCGCCGTACAATCAAGTACTCCGCCTGTAATATACATGGCCGGGCAATAAAGGTATGTAATATACTTGGCCGGGCAATAAAGGTATGTGATATACATGGCCGGGCAATAAAGGTATGTAATATACATGGCTGGGCAATAAAGGTATGTACATGTAATATATATGGCCAGGCAATTAATAAAGGTACAGTACCTCCTACAAAAACAACTCCAAAGCTTTAGTCTGTTGACGAATTTTACATAATGTAGGCTTTTAATAAATGAAATATAATGTTATTAAAGTATGGGAACTGGTAATATATGGCATATCTTGATAAGTAAAGTAAGTGTGCCAATAATATGTTTATACATTAAGGCCCCATAAATAGGCATTTTTTGTATCAGTCATACAAAATATTGTACAAAAAAGCATTTTTACCTTTTTGTAACATTTTCCCGCTTTTTTTATTTTAGGTGATTCTGTGGGCTCGACACGGGGCGTTTGACAAAAAACAGTCACTAGGCGAAGCTGTGGTCAAGCTTGATGGCCTTGATCTAATGCATCAGTCTACCAACTGGTACAAACTGTTCCCGCCTGGCGCAACAGACTTTGGCTCAAACGAATCTCTTAATTTCTGGTGAACTGGAAGCTAGCCTTTGATCTCCTAAAAAAAAAACTCTTTGCGTTGCCTGGAATATGATTAACTTGTGGCTATTCCTGAACCCAGTGCACAATATTGCTCTTCACATTTCTAGACATATACCCTTGACCCATAGCTTGTTAGACATATTCTAGACCTTCAGTTTATACAGTGCAAAATTTAATCCCCTGAGCCTATTGCACGATGCATTACCAGTGAGAATACTTGGACTTTCATCAGGGTGCAAACCCCCTTAACATGTAGTACTGTACAAGCACTGGTGTGTGAATACTTAGTTGAATTATAATCTGCGATTCAATGGTGCCTTTTATCAAGAGATTGGCTGTTTGATAACATTACCTGAGGTTTTTTTTAATACAGGTCATTGGTGGTGCTTTGGTGTATACTTGAAAATACACGCGGTAATTTTAATTTCATTGAAATAAACATGAGGACCTGATCATTTGTTAAAAACAGGAATATGTATTACTGATGACTTCGGTTGTTGAATATCTCAGTTATACCATATAAATGTGTATTTTATCATATACATATAACAGTATTAGTTTGGCTGACAGTCTCGGTCTCTTTAATGTTACATATCCATACTGTCATTAAATTATTGTTTTAATTTTAAAGTTTTGTGAATTTTTTTCGGGGGGGGGGGGTAAACATTTTATGTTGTTCTACTAAATAATTACTTTTAATAGTTTATAGGGCGTTGTGTTGCACTAATGATTAAAAACAGGAAGTCCTGTCTCAATCACACGCAAAATATCTCCAAAAAATATCACGGATGTTAGTGAGGGGTTTTTTTCATAATAAGTTGAAAAATGGGCAATAACAAGCACATATTTTATGCGCTGCATTTCATTTTGCATAGCATTTCCGACATTTTCTTTTAAATTCATTTCCGACTTTTATTTTCATTTCCGACTTTTATTTTTATTCATTTCCGGAATTTTTGCGGGGTACCTCTCCGGCAATTTAATGTTAACCAAGTAGGTGGAAATGGAATTTTAAAAAGAATTTATTTCAAACCACATTTTCAAAATATGCCTCATAATTTCCATCCTAACATATCTGATTTCAAACTTAAAATGAACATTTGAAAAGGAGATAAGCGAAAATTCACAACACTCACCAGTGTCTTATAGAACGAAAAAAAAATTGAAAATGTCGGAAATGAAAACTATAAAATGTCGGAAATGAAAAACTGAAAATTTCAAAAAAAATTCCGGAAATGAAATGCAGCCATTTTATGGAATTATTATGAAAAGTGTTTGTTCATTTGAACACTTAAATTTCTCCAATGTGCGGATCATTTACAACAGTGTGTAAGAAAATAAGTGAAAATTAATATATCAAGGAACTCAAGTTGGAAAAATCCAGAAACTAACTTAAAACTTTTCAAGAACTACTTTGAATAAAGACGTCCTTATACGGGGTATATTTCAGCTCGGACAGACTTGCCCCCGGGGGGGGGGGGGGCAGGGATGGGGCCCAAAGTTTTGTATAAATGTATCATTGCTTTGCTGTCATACAATGTAAGTAAATCAAAGTCCCTATCATATGCAGACCACACTCGTCTATATTCACAATTTTATAAAAAGGACATTTTTTAAAATTTATTTAATACATTTTTTTTCATTCTTTTTAAATATATTTCTGGTATGCAAGTTCATCTCTTGTACACATAACTGTTGTGCTTATTTTTCCTAACAACCTTACGATATTTTGAGGAAATGCCAGAGGCAATACACAGCGGGAGATAACTCTGTTGGAAAACTGAGGACGAACTCCCGCTGTTTCATCTCGCATGTGAGGTCGCGATATAAAAATATATATATAATTTTATCATCTCTTGAATAAACATCCCTATACTTAACAAAAGAACATCTTTTGAACAATAAACCTTTTGATTTGTATATTTAAGACTACTGTAAAAGCAAAATGGTCACTGTTTAACTTTCTCCAATGTTTACAACAGTCACTTATTGTTATACAATAGCAGAGTCAATCATCAAGTGTAGAAAGTTTATTAAATGTAGTAGCAACATAGCACTTTCAGAAAAAAAAGTGTATAAACTATGTACAATTCAATATAAATGTGTAACAAAAAGAGATAAACCCCCCTTAAGTAAACAACGTATGTATAGAAACAGTGCTTGTTTAATATCACACCGGTCAGTCCAGGGTGTGATCGGCCACTTACGTCCACACAATAGTGTAAAAGGGATTAAAAAATAAATGTATATATAGCATAAAATAACAACGTGCAATAGCACAATAAATAAATATAAAGTCTCAACGCACAAAAAATACACACAAAATATCACAGTCCAGCAATGTTTGGGAAGACACGATCACCAAGGTTACATGTATTTCTTCCAGATTTTCAGAGTCTCGTATAGTTCCATGGCGGAGGGTCGGTCTAACTGAGACACCGACCAACACTGACTGTACAGGTCACGGTAACACTCTTCAAATGGGTCCATTTCTATATCGGGGTGGGAGGGGCGGTGTCCGTACGCTACTACACTAAATATCACCACATGCTGATTTTCGTTCCCGTACGGGTTTTCCCGCGCTAACATCTGCCACAAGGTCACCCCCATAGCATAAATGTCCGCTTTACATGAGGGTACTTGTCCCTTGAGGAGTTCTGGGGCGCGGTAGGCAAAGGTGCCCGTTAGGAGAGACCTCTGTGTGGGGCTCACCAGCCCCGTATCAACCTCCACTTTCTGTGAGCAGCCGAAGTCGGCGATCTTGATGTCTCCCCGGGCGGTGATGAGGATGTTGGCGGGCTTCAGGTCTAGATGTAACACGTGGTTATCGTGGATGTAGCGCAGGGCGTCTGACATCTGAAAGGCGAACTTGATTCTTGTCTTGACACTCAGCTCCTCGTGATTGATCATCGTTTGTAGAGTCTTACTTCCGGCGTACTCCATTACGATCCATGCACCCTCCTCAAATGTATCCAGCGGAATGGCGGTCAGGGTTTTCACAATATTCGGGTGTTCAAAGTCTAACACATGAAGTTCCGCCTTGAAACTTTCTTCTTGGGCTGCGACGTTTTTACACTGTTTGTTCATAATTTTCACTGCGACATCGTGCTCCTTGTAGGCTCCCAAGTACACCGATCCGAAACCTCCCGCTCCTAGTAAACGTCCCAGTTTCACATCGCCTTTGTTCACTTGTGTGACCTTCTTGTTAACCAAATCAATTTTGGGCATAACCCTGCGAACGATTCCTCGACCTCGCTTGTACTTTGACAACAGATACTTCAACTTTAGCCAGCTTTTCTTGGTGAAACTCGTCTTCGCCAGTTGCTGTGTATTGAGTTGATTTGTAGTTTTCATTTTTTCGTGTATGCATTCCATCAAAGTTCAATTGTTAATGGCCGTCCTTGAGTCCAGGGTCTATTTTAATAATCTCCCAAACTGAGCAGTACTAAGCTCTGGTTGGCTGACCAAGATACACATTCTAATTATAGAATTTGCCTTGGGGTAGTAACACTGATTCTATAGCACATTTACACCCTAGCCTAGGACCCGCTAATGGACACACTAATAGACCATCAGTAAGTTGTTTACATTGGATAATTACAACAATTACATAATCATTGCACATTTAGAATCTTTACTCCTTAATGGACTATTTCGACAACTGGAAAACGTCTTGAAATTAGGTTATTATCTTGTTAAAATCAATTGCTACCAATTACATCTCTATTATCTACTCAGGAAGTGTTAAATTTAAAGGGATAAGTGGAAATGTTGAAATCTTAATATTTGGTATTCTAATTGTTTAATTTTTACTTTCATTTTTAAAAATCAGAAGAGTTTGATTCTAAAAAAAATAATATAGAAAGAATTAAATCGGGGAACAAAATGAAGCAGCATATTGGTCTGAAGAATATTTTATATTGATAATCAGCATATAAATTACGGATTCTCGATTTCTTTTCTTTTTTTACTGAATTAAGTTGAACATATTTTATTGTAGTATATATACACTGGGATTGGCCACAAGTTCTTAAAACTTATTTCGCCCTCCCCCTACATGAGAAGTCTATAAAGTTTGAGTTACATGTGTAACACAGTTTTAAAAATAAATTTGATAAACTCACAACATGAATTTGTAAACAGCAAGAAAATTTGTGATATACAATTGCAATACATAAACAATTACAATTATAGGTATATCAATTAGATCTACCAGAATGCTGAATATATGAATGCACAATGGAAAAAAGATATTCATTTTCAGCAACACTTATTTTTTATTGGGGGTGGGGGGGTTGTGTCAAATTGAACGGATTAAAATCTTGTTGCAAAGCTTTCCCTCAGATTCTTTCATTCCACAAATGTAATACAACAAAGGCATGACAAAGGTGTTAAGTGGGATATAAATTCTCAGTATAAAGAAGGTGACGAAATTCTAAGTTAATAAACAGAGATTTTCTTTTTAAAAAAATGAAAAGGATCGTACAGCAAGTTAGGAGCTTATAATTATTTCATATCACAAAATGTAGCCACTGTCACTATTACATATTTATTGTAAAGAATCCAAAGTAAACGGAGTCACATTTGTTTTCTAGTCTTAACATTATGCATTTAAAATCATAAACGTGCTTTTGTTCTAATAAATATTGTACATCAAATAATATCAGAAAGTTATATATCCAAACATCACGCATAGAAAAAAGTGTAACTACAAAAAGGCTTCAAAATCATGGACATAGATTTTGTAAGTAAGATGAAGAACACAATTTGCTTATGTAGATTTTACTTCGTTATAGTTTTGACCAAAATGTTTATTCTGACCCACGCCATATTAAGGATCCTTTACACTTAAAGCATTTACATTTTTCCTATACACTAAAGCATTTCATAGTTTTCGGGCACTGAGAAAACTTAATATTTGGTGTAAATATTGAGCTTTTCTATTTCATTTTAACATAAAATACCTGGCATGTACCCTCAGGAAAAAATTCCAACATCAAAAAGTATTGATGAATAGAAACCATTCTTGTTTTCTGAAATACATGCAAAGAAAGTGTTCGATTAATTTATCTTGGCCTATCATAATTTCAAGGATGCTTAAATTTATTAAAAACAGAAATACAAAACTTCCTCTAGAGCTAGTTAACTTAAACTGCATGAAAAATACCACCACAGAATCGGAGCTCTTTTATGTGCACTTGTGCAGTGTATAGAGTATTCTTAAACAGCAAAATCTTTTGATAGAAGGGGATCATTCTATCGTTGTTAAATTTTGAATTTTATACCTTCTCCCATTAAATTCCAAATGTACAACACGAAAATTCTATTGAACAATAATACCATTAACTAAAATATTGACACATCAATAATGAAGTTTTTTAAGGTGTATGACATTGGAAAATTGTCAATGAAAGTTAGTACATGACATATTGAGGGGGGGGGGGGCGCAATAAGTGATAGCATTAAATGTTTACTTATTTATAGATTTTATTCATGATTTCGGTGAGAGTGGATCTTTTAAGCTTTTCTAATATAAGTATAAAAGATTAAGCGTTTTTTGTGATGCTTGTCTTTGATGAAAACGGTGGTCGTGTTGCCCAGTGCTTTGATAGTTAGTTTAATTTAGTAGGTCCCTAACTACTGATCAGATCTAAGCTTTATCTTGCAAACAAAGAATGGGTTTCTATTTGTCTCCGTCATATGACAAATCTGAAAAACAGCAAAAGTAATGATTTTTTGTGCGTTTTTTTTTTATTTTCTGCATTTCGGGTATGAAAATAAAGGTGAAAAAACGAAATACTTTAAACTCTTGGTTTATTTTGCAAAAAATAAAATGAGCAAAGAAAATATAAAACAAACAAAAGATATATTAAAAAGATGTTTCAGTGACACGGAGTATTACAACTGTTTCATTGGCTCCAGTGACACGAGTATTACAAGCCGTTTCATTGGCTCTAGTGACACGAGTATTACAAGCCGTTTCATTGGCTCATGTGACGCGGAGTACTGTATTTCAGTCATTGCCTCCTGTGACACGGAGTATTACAAGCCGTTTCATTGGGTCCTTTAGTAAGTTTAAAGTAGTCTGACCTAATTGTACATCTATCTAAATGAATGACATTCGTATTCAATTGTATGCATAAAAAAATCATAATAACTAGAGCGAGCTCGTTGCAAAGCAACGAATAGGTCTTCCGCTGGAGCTGCGGAAGGAAGAAGTGACCTTGAGTCAAGGTCATGCCACATTCTAAAGTTATACATGTAAGCAATCTTGTAAGGGGAAGCAACTTACAATATTTCGCTAGGAAAAACTGTAAAGGAATGTACGTGACCTTGAACATTCCAAATGCCTTGCGTCAAACCATGACACACTCTCGTCATAAAACCCAATCTGTGTGTTACCGACTTGAAAAGTTCACATTGACACGTCATGTTCTTTTAGTCCATACATACAGTCAAAACATCTTATCCTTAGTGACCTTGAACTTGAGTCAAGGCCATGTCACACTCTGCATGATACCAGCAATGTTTCACTAGTACAAATACGGTAGCGAAATTACAGTTTCTCTGTCAGTGACCTTGACTCGACCAAATGACCTTGCATCAAGGCCATAACACACACTGGTTAAAAGCAATCCCAGTCTGTGAGTTTCTGAATGGATAAGTTCAGCCATGTTTTTTCAGATCATACAGCGAGTCGGAATAATTTGTTAGGTTCAACATAATGATTAAAAAATTCATTGAGAATGTTTTATGCCCAGTTTGGATAAGTAGTAAAACGTGGAGATTGGTCCTTTGGATGAGACCGTATAAGGTCTCGTGTCGGGGTAAGTGCTAGCGTGACAAAGCAACGAATAGGTCTTCCGTTGGAGCTGCAGAAGGAAGAAGTGACTTTGAGTCAAGGTCATGCCACATTCTAAAGTTATACATGTAAGCAATCTTGTAAGGGGAAGCAACTTACAATATTTCGCTAGGAAAAACTGTAAAGGAATGTACGTGACCTTGAACATTCCAAATGCCTTGCGTCAAACCATGACACACTCTCGTCATAAAACCCAATCTGTGTGTTACCGACTTGAAAAGTTCACATTGACACGTCATGTTCTTTTAGTCCATACATACAGTCAAAACATCTTATCCTTAGTGACCTTGAACTTGAGTCAAGGCCATGTCACACTCTGCATGATACCAGCAATGTTTCACTAGTACAAATACGGTAGCGAAATTACAGTTTCTCTGTCAGTGACCTTGACTCGACCAAATGACCTTGCATCAAGGCCATAACACACACTGGTTAAAAGCAATCCCAGTCTGTGAGTTTCTGAATGGATAAGTTCAGCCATGTTTTTTCAGATCATACAGCGAGTCGGAATAATTTGTTAGGTTCAACATAATGATTAAAAAATTCATTGAGAATGTTTTATGCCCAGTTTGGATAAGTAGTAAAACGTGGAGATTGGTCCTTTGGATGAGACCGTATAAGGTCTCGTGTCGGGGTAAGTGCTAGCGTGAAAAGGATCTCTCATGCTATAAAGTTTGAATTTACCGGGTGGCAGTAAATACTGACAACCGGTAAGTTCAAAATTTACAACATGACAGATCCATGGCACTTGATTCTACCTCTGATTTCAAAAGATTTGCACTGTTTCTGATTTGTATTGTTTGAATGGTCTTTTAAGCTTGAATGCTGCACAGGTGCTTGTGGACAGGACCCCCCCCCCCCAATATACACCCCGGGGTCCAAGAATATTTTTATTCGTCTTTTTCCATAAATTAATCTTCTAGTACACATTTACAATGTATTCCATATGAAAAATCCAAAAAATAACGTAGAATTAACGTTTTATTAAAAAATCATACCAGCAGTATTATGAAATAGAGAAGGTAAGTCACTTCCATTTGTTAACACTGGACCCCTCTTGGATACCGGGCCTAAAATATCATATACATGTACCTACCACATGTCACCAAAATATGATATTATATCTTGTTTCATCGTCGCAAGCCACGGGTTTTGTGTCCATTCTATTTCCACAAACCCGTGGCTGCCTCCTTCTAATTTCTCTTGTTCTCATGAATATTAATAACATACATTCAACCAATGGAATAACATCTGACGCTTCAAGTCAGAACCAATGAAAATGATCAGTCTATCTTGTATTTGGATGTAACCATAACCACGAGCTGTACATCAACTTCGGTTCGATTTTCCTTTCTTAACGAGTAACGCTATTCAGCGTTCTCACACAACGTCTACATTCGAAACCCTGTATTTTAATGTAAAACCTTGTAAGTATTTTAGAATATACGTTACTCACATCTGTTCTTCAGGATCTATCGTGCTTTTTTTCAATAATCTGCCACGCATAGCAAACATGATTTCATTATGGGCGCCGCCATTTAAGCGTACCAAAAATTGCTACAGAGTGATTTCATTGGTCAGGGTAAATCT